TCTAAGACCGAGCTAGTTTTCTTCACTAGGAAATATGAAGAAGAGAGTTTTAGCTTGTCAAAATTAAACGGTGTTAAAGTCAGTCAGTGGCTCATTAGGAGCCAAGTATCTAGGGATCTTCCTAGACCGCAAATTGTCTTGGAAGAAAAATATGCAGGAACGGCTTAAAAAGGGTCTCAATGCCAATTAAACGAGCAGAAACTCTATTGTTAAGAATTGGAGTTTGCGACCAGACATGGTAAATTGGATTTACACGTCCGTAGTAAGGTCCATTATTATCTATGTGCCATTATTACAGTGTGCTGTGTAGGGATGAAGAAAAACAGCTATAGGTTAATACTCAATAAGGGTTTAAGGTGTGCTTCTATCGGCATAACAAGTGCCATTGAGAAATACGTTGAGAGTGTAGCGTTTAGGTAATTGTTCATATTATTTGAATCAGCTCTAGTAAGACCAAAGCAGGTGGTATAAACAAGTATACTGTACGAGGTAGGTCTAACAGGAATTAAGGGAAGTACGGAGGGTATTTCTGATCATTTGGTTACGAACTTGGACTTCGGAATGACACCTTCAATAGTGATTTTTAGTAGGGATGAGTTGATTAGATCCGAAGTACTGTTTGAGGTGTGTGCAGTCTTTACTGATAGATTCTGGCACAGGGGCCGGGGTTTTTTTGGTGTATGGCAACATACAAGTGTCTTATATACTTCTGAACGAATGTAGCACAATTGGAGACTTTAGGGGTAATAGGGCCGGCAACGCACAGGATTTTTGCAGGTTGTGTGCGGACGAAGAGGAACTGGACGAAGAGGAACTGCCCCTGTCCCAGAATACAGAGTCCGAGACTGAAATGGGTAGGCTAAAGATATCCACGATGAACTAGTAGATGTAACAGGGTGTAACTTTGGCGACATTCTTGGTTTCATCAGGGGAATATTTTGGTTATTAAAATTCATTTTCTGACTAAAAATGTTGTTTTAACAAAAACCAGTATTTTTATCAAAACCCAGTTTTTTATAAAAAATTAGTTTTTTTCTTCAAAACCTTAAAATACTCCCAATCGGCTCAGAATAATCTTCTGGATTGATTAAGCAGTCCGTCCATCAGTCTTTTAGTTCCCCCTAAAAACTTTGTAATTAAAGTAATTGTTTGATGTCGAGAAATCGAAATAAGAATCTTCGTAATAATAGGCTCCATATTAATTATTCCTAAGCAGCCAGCCATAAATTTCAACTTTTCGCATATAGGTTTCAAAATACTCAACATTCGAATTAACACACTTCAATTACAAATTCACTAATTACATTTTTAAATCATTGCTAAAAAACCATTTAAGAGAAAGATGTATAAAAATATAACATTTATAATGACAGCCATTTAACCACACATGACGTATTTTATAACAGAAAAAAAAAATAATTATTATTTTACTTTAATTCAATGAATCGTACATTGTGCTATCCTTTTTTTATTTTTGCAACAGTCATACTATGACATACCGACACTATCATTGCAATTTATTATTATATGATATAAATTTCTCACCTCTAGCTGACAACAAATATCGTAGACAAACCAGGATATATTTCATTTGCCATATCCGTAAAAACTTTCAACAGTTTTAGAAAAGTGAAAAATGAAAGCAGTAAAAAATGTAACGAAAAAAAAACGTATTACATACGTAGAGAAAAGTAATGGCAAGTAGTGTGTGAAAATGTGTTGCAATTAATGTCACATCAGTTTTACGTTGTCTGTTGTCATTTGTTGAAATTTGTTCAAATTAAATGCAGTCAGTATACTCTCGGTTGGTCCTAACTCAAGACAACGACTTTTACTATGAATCTGTGTATGTATGTGGGTATCTTTATATACACCTACAGACAATACCGGAGACAAAAATTCACTTTTTATAAAATATGTTGCATAAAGAATAGAAAAATTGTTCATACATTTCTTGCTTTTTCTTTAACCTAAAGCTGTAAATTTAAGAAATACAAGAAAATGAAACTGAAATAGTTGCAGAGAAACAAAAACAAATAACTAACTACTATTGTACCTACAAGCATCTACTATAACAATGTCAAAAACACTGTCACCTATTATATATATAGGTTGTCTTTTTTCTTTCAACAATTTTTGTTTTTTTCTCAGCTTTTTTGGTTAAAACAGTAATTCAATGTCTTAGAGTTTCTATGCAACAGATGTACTTTAGTTTCTATATATGTAGCAAGCAACACTTTTTTACATACTACCTTTGTATGTAAGTATGTTTTATATATATGTAAGTGTCTTGTCTTTTCATTTCATTTTGTCTCGTCAGTACTTGTCTTTTCGTTGTGATCCTTTTAGTGCAAAATTATTCTTTTGTTACAATTTACTATTTTTTTGTTTTTTGTTTTCTATTGTTGCTTCATTTGGTGATTGCTATGCAACATCTTACGGTATGTAATTTCTTATATTTTCCTATTTTTTGTTTTATTTTCTTGCTGTCAGCAAACTGTTTTTACATCCAAAGACTTTCGTTTTGTTTTTTTCTGTTTTTTTTTTTTTTTTCGTAGAAAGTACTTTAAGCAAAGTAATAAGAATATTTACATTTATGTATGAATTCTGCAATTACTAAAGAGAATTTAATTACAAATGCCAACACTTTAAAGAATTTAAACAATTAAGAATGAAAGGTCGGGCATGGTCGACCCTATGATAGCCCACACAGAAGAATAGTTGTAAAAAATTTGTATTGTTTTTTAAAAATAAAGCATTTAATTAAATTTTTTGCCTCAATTCGGAAATATTTTAACAGCTTGTTGACAAAAAAGTGGTTTTCTGAAAGAGGGGGCAGGGGTAGGTATGGACTTATTCCTACAAATTTTGGGTAGAGAGATTTAAGTTTACATTGAAGTTATGTATCATGATACTAGTGTTTATAAATGAATTATTGACCTTTAAGGTCATTTTCTGAAGCGACCTTTGTATGGGATAGCTAGGGTTATATGAGGCCCGATTATTATGGCAATCGGCCACCAGTAGTAACATTTTAGAGTTAAAGAAAACTTAAATTAATATAATGAGGAAAGACCGAAGGAGACGGTTATTTAGGACAGTACGGTTGTAGAAAAGAAAGAAGAACCGTAAGGAAGTAACGAAAAAAACCGAAAAAATGGGGGACCGAACTAACGAAGTCAAAAAAACGTCCAAGAACGAAGAACGAAGAACTAACTAACTACTACCACGAGGCTAAACGAACGAACCAAGAACAACTAAATAACTAACTAACGAATAAAACTAAGAACTAACTAACTAACTAACTAACAACTAACTAACTAACGAAAACTAACTAACGAACGAACTAACAAATAACTATACAAAACTAACAACTAACTAACTAACTAACTACTAACTAACTAACTACTAACTAACTAACTAACTAACTAACTACTACTAACTACTAACTAACTAACTAACTAACTAACTAACTAACTAACTACTACTAACTACAACTAACTAACTAACTAACTAACTAACTAACTAACTACCTAACTACTAACTAACTAACTAACTACTAACTAACTAACTAACTAACTAACTAACTAACTAACTAACTAACTAACTAACTAACTAACTAACTAACTAACTACTAACTAACTAACTAACTACTAACTAACTAACTAACTAACTAACTAACTAACTACTAACTAACTAACTAACTACTAACTAACTAACTACTAACTAACTAACTAACTAACTACTAACTAACTAACTACTAACTAACTAACTAACTAACTAACTAACTACTAACTAACTACTAACTACTAACTAACTAACTACTAACTACTAACTAACTAACTACTAACTAACTAACTAACTACTAACTAACTAAACTAACTAACTAACTAACTAACTAACTAACTAACTAACTAACTAACTAACTAACTAACTACTAACTAACTAACTAATGAACTTACTAACTAACTAACTCCACAAAAAGTCCCATATTTAAGACTTTTAAGGTCAAATATTAATATACCTATAAGTATAAATTCGTCCTTATTGATCCTGAAAAAAAGATCTGGGCAACTAAAATTAATTTCTTTGTTAACATTACTACATGCAAAAAAAAATATTTGTATGTGTACATTACCTAATTCATACTTCAACGATATACGATGACACGAATAAAACAAATACTTAACAATTTGTTATTTGACACAGATATTTATCTTTTACATTTGACATCGTATGTGTTAAATACAACATTTACAAACGAACGCAGAAGTAATTAGAAACGTACTTACAAATGAAAACAAACATATATATAATTCAAATTGAGCAGCCATTAAAATAATGAAAAATCAAATAATTTTCTTGTTAGTTTTATAAAAAAAAATATATATATACATGTATACGTAGACAAAATCCCATGTAAATTGACATAACATGACAGTTGACAACTACTTAAGTTAATTACAAAAGACATTTAAAGAAAATGTTGCGCTCTAACTGTATGCGATTTCAGAAATGGAGAGTGAAGATTTTATAAGAATTTTTAAGAATTTTAGGTTTTTTATAAATGAAGATATAAAATTTTGTTGATTTTATTTGGAAAAGAGTAACAACATCTTAATGAGAAGCGTTTAAAAAAAATATCATTTTATGTAAAATTGTGAAGTTCTTTATTCAATTCGTTTAAATTACATTTATTTATAAAGTAATTTAACTAAAACATTTAACTAATCATCTTTTAAATATAACCAACATTTATTCCCCTATTTACTTACACATATCCATACATATTCAGCAATGAGCAGTAAGTTACATTTGATGATGTATCATTACTCGTGCCATTTTCTTTTGATAGTTATTAACATTTACATTTAATTAACATTTATTCCCATAAGTTTAATTTATTTCATATTAATGTTTGTATAGTAAAAGCTTTATTAGTCTAACTATGTATTTACATTTTATTTTATTTCCTTCTATTTTTTTTTTTTTTTTTGCAGGTTATTTCTGGCATATAACAGATCTACACTTAGATACAATATATTCAACGCAGGGAGATGTAATGCGCAGTAAGTAATTTGTAATTTATTATGATTAAATTAAATTATGTTTATAATTGTAATGACAATATTATTTTTTGGAAATTAGAGTAAAGTTGGCACTACTTCTGCCTTATGAAACAAGTGTCCAGTAAAAATAATCATTGAGAAGTAATAAGTTAAAAATCAATTAAAATTTATTTTCATACCTTATTCATTGGCATATTAAGTCATTATTTTAAAACCACCATCACTTACCGATAAGCACTTAAATAAGTTACTGAAGTAGGAAGTTAAAACAGTGTTTTGGCTCTCATGTTCGTTAGTTCGCTGTCCTACTCACACCACCACTGCTTAAATATTTTATTCTAGTCATAATGTAAGTCATTAAGAGTAATGATTTCATATGATACCCTACACCAGTGAGTATGTTAAAATGTACATTTTTAATGAAAATAATTTGATTTTTTCCTTTATTGCAAGATATTTTTATAATTCGTTGACAATAAAAGAGGTTTTCTACAAGAGGATTTATATGAGGGTAAGGGTAAATATGGACCTATCCTTATAAACTTTAGTAGAGGAATTTACATTTGACCTTCAAGTCAATTTTGGTTTTTGGTTGAGATACTAGAACATTTGACATAATTATAAGCTAAAATGTTCTATTGGGGGGTATTCAATTCATATAAAGTTGTCATGATGCAACGGGAAATTTAGAGTTACGTAGTAATTCCAATCCTGAAGCCATAAGGGACTATTTTTCTATTTCTTACGTGATTGAATATGCGTATGATTGATAAAGTGTTATTTTGAATTAAATATTACGTATACGCAACATTATGTCATTACAGCGGGAAGTTTGGAGTTACGTAGTAATCCCAATCCTTAAGCCATAAGGACTATTTCTCTATTTTTTACTTGAATAAATATGCGTATGATTGATATACTATTATTGTGAATTTAATATTACGTATACGCAACATTATATCATTATATCTAAGAAATGTTCTCAAGCTGTAAATGTAATTTTCTAATGCAACAGCAGTATATGTATGATAACTTTTGTGACAGACTGAACATAAACACAACATATACATACATATGTATATTCCCAAATATATGTATGTGCATTCATACCCACACTTTAATACAAAGACGTATGGTTGTATGGGGGCTAGGCGAAATAATGGACCAATTTAAACTATTTTGAACATGCTTCGTTCTTGGGTCAAAAGAAGTGTATATACAAAATTTCATTAAATTATATTATATTACAAGGTTTACATGGGCACATAGACAGACAGACAGACAGACGGACGGTGGACAGACGGATATCAGCACAAACGCATAAGAACTTCCCCACTATATTGGGTATAAAAAGTTATCTAAAAAGAATTTAAAACAAATCTTCCTAACTTAAATATCTTGTCAGATTCGGTAATAATATATAACATTTTTCCGGCCCTATATATAATACATGGATCGTTGTATATATCAGACTCGATAAAGTTATTTGCTCCTATCTGTCCGTCTGTATCTCTGTATGTTTGCTGAAATCAATTTTCTAGAGACTCCGGATATCTTCGCGAAACAAATCTTCAATAGTTCTATTAGACATATTTTCGAAAAGTTTACTGTTTAAAATCAGTTTTATTGGTCCATAAAAAATGAGATATGCTCAAAATTCTTTGAAAACAACAACATACAGCTTTGCTTAGAAATGTTGTTGTATTTGATTTTAATAGAGAATAAGACAGCGGCTGGAAATAACAACAACATATAACAATATATGTAACGGCTGAAAACAGGGATGGAAACTATTTATTATAGAACTTTGGATTTTTTTGGAAAATATTGAAAGAACAAAACTCATATTTAAAAAAAAAAAATAAAGTTTATTTTTATAATAAAGTAATATTTTTTAAAATATAAAGTTCTTCTTATGGTATTCTGAGTTAAAAATTGTTTTATTTTTTTGCATCAACAAAAAAAAAACATTTTTCCAAGAATTACCAAAATTCTATACACAACGTAGACATTTTCATTGGAAATATTTTGGTTACAAAATAAAAAATAAACGACAGTACAAAATGACAAAAAATTTTCTTAATTTGATTTTGTAATTTCCATGATGCCAAGAAAAATAAACATTATCATGAATTTTTTCCCACCATCTTATTTTATACAAAGCTTTGAATTTATATGATTTTTTTTTTTTTGTACCATTTTAGGTTGTTGGCACATTGAAAGACAACCACCCAGTTCGTCCACACATTCACCAGGTCGTTATGGTGATTACCTCTGTGATAGTCCTTGGAGTCTAATTGAGTCGGCTGCCAAAGCAATGAAATCACGGCAGGGTGATAATGTTGAATTTGTGCTGTGGACGGGGTAAGTAAAAATAGCATAGCTACTTGCACTGAATGAAACAAACTAAAAGAAACATGAAATAGTAAATGCAATCGTAAAAGTATATTGTTTTAACACCAAGTGATATAAGAGTAAAAATGAAAGAAAAATAAAATAATTTCTACAACATTTTGCTGTAACTGTTTGTTAACTGAGCTTAAAACTAAGTAAAATGTTAACTAATAATTCATGGGGTCTTCTTCTAAGTGATACCAAATTGCAGTTGCATTTAATTTTATAAATACAAAACACAAAATAAAAACAGAGTAGAATAAACACTAAAATCCTTCTTAAAGTCCCCCTTGATGTTTAAACTAATGCTTGAAGACCAAATGGAGTAAAATAAAAAAAGAAAAAACACAAGCATAAAAGGCAAAAGAAACTGAGGAGAAAAACAGGAACACAACTACCGAAACAAAAGGACAACAATATAAAATGAGCTTTAATTTTTTATAAATATATAGGTGTGTGTATTTAAGTAACATTTAAACATGACAAGAAAAAAAAGAATCCAACCATAAGAACCGCATTGCAGGTGAACATTGAAAAGTACTAAAAACCTCAGTAAAGTAATAAAAGCCAAACTAACTTGTAAAAAGTCAGTTACCATTTAGTACTATCTTACCTGTAGTACTAAAGATTTGTTTAAATATACAAACGCTGTATAGTCGTATACATTTACACACTTATTACAATAGTCAGCATTAAACAAGTAAGAGTGTTATATTCGGCTATGCCGAATCTTATATACCCACCATCAAACCACGTTTGACTCGAATGAAACTTACTTATGTCAAATTTCATCTATATACTAGTTTTCTGAAGGGGACCTTATATAGGGGGGTAGGGTCAATTATTGGTCGATCCTCATAAAATTTGGTAGACAGAATTTGGTTCGTATTAAATTTATTTGTGTCGAATTTCATCGCTACACTCGTATTTTTAAACCATTAATGAGCGTTGCAGTCATTTTCTGAAGGGGACCTTATATGGGGGGTAGGGTCAATCATGGACTGATCCTCATAAAATTTTGCATAGTGATTTTGGATCATAAGAAACTTACTTATGTCGAATTTCATCTATATACTAGTATTTTTAAGCCAGTAATGAGCGTTAAAGTCATTTTCTGAAGGGGACCTTATAAGGGGGGTAGGGTCAATTATGGACCGATCCTCATAAAATTTTGCATAGTGATTTTGGATCATAAGGAACTTACTTATGTCGAATTTCATCTCTATATTCGTATTTTTAAACAAGTTATGGCTGTTAAAGCTGCTTTTGGAGGGGCCACTTGTATGGGGGCTATCCGAAAACGTGGACCGATATTGCCCATTTTCAATACCAAACAAACCTTACCTATAAGAAATATTTATGTGAAATTTCAACCCTCTAGCTCTTTCCATTCGGACTCTATCGTGCTTTCAACAGACAGACAGACAGACAGACAGACAGACAGACAGACAGACAGACGGACGGACGGACGGACGGACAGACGGACAGACATGGCTAGATCGCCTTAGAATTTAATGAGGACCCAGAATATATATACTTTTGTGGGTCTATGACCAATATTTCGATGTGTTACAAACGGAATGACAAAATCAATATACCCCCCATCTTTTTTGATAGTGGGTATAAAAAGATAAAAAACGTATTTTTTTCAAAAGAATAACAAAAAAAAAGGAAAAACGTTATTCCTGTGAATTTCGTACTGGTGACCTTGGAGTCTTATTTGTATAGACCCAATATTATCTTATGTAACTTTATTATACATTTCCAGTACATGAGATGGGATAATTATACAGTCATTACCAAAGAAAATTTTTTGTTATAATACAATATCTTTTATACATATAATATCAATCTCCTAGTTATTTTTTCGGGGGTCTGATGCTACTACCTTCTAGAAGTTCTTTGGATTCAATTCTTGTAAAGTTGCCATAATGCAACGGGAAATTTGGAGTTACATATCAGGCAGGGGGGGGGTTGTAATGACTACATTTTCAATTACAATTACATAATTGAAGTAATTGAAGTTTCGCCAATTACAATTACTTGTAATTGGAATTGAAGTTTTGGCAATTACAATTATTTGTAATTTGAAGTAAAATTGAAGTTTTGGCAATTACAATTACTTTTAATTGTAATTGAAGAATTTTCAGTTACAATTACTTCTAAATGTAAATTTTGTTCCTTATAATTACATGTAAATTTGTAATTAGTAAATTACAATTACAATTGGAAACTGCAATTACAACTAATTGTAATTGGCAAAACTTCAATTACAATTACAAGTAATTGTAATTGGTTATTAGTCAATTACACATTACAAGTAATTGTAATTGATTATTGGTCAATTACACATTACAAGTAATTGTAATTGGAAAAACTCTAATTACAATTACAAATAATTGTAATTAGTTATTTCTGAATTACACATTACAAGTAATTGTAATTGACTATGTAGTGAATTACTTTGTGTTGGTTACCCCCCATGCCTAATACATAGTAATCCCAATCCTTAAGCCATAATTTCTCTATTTCTTACATGTATAAATATGCGTATGATTGATAAGATGTTATTATGAATTATATATTACGTATACGCAACATTATGTCATTACAGCGGAAAGTTTGCAGTTACGTGGTAATCCCAATCCTTAAGCCACAGGGGACTAGTTCTCCATTTCTTACTTAAATAAATATGCGTATGATTGATATGTTATTATTGTGAATTAAATATTACATATACGCAACATTATACCATTATATCATCTAAGAAATATTCTCAAGCTGTAAATGAAATTTCCTAATGCAACAGCAGTATATGTATGATAACTTTTGTGACTGACTGAACATAAACACAACACATACACACATATATTCCCAAATATATGTATGTGCATTCATACCCACACTTTAATACAAAAATATTAAGAAAGATTTGCCACAATTTGAAAATTACATTTAGACAATGAGTGTGGTCAAAAATCTAAAAAAAAAACTAAAATACCAAACACACAGCTTTCATTATACTGTAATAGACAACATGTGTCACTCAGTTTTGCTAGACAAGAGATTTTACTATAAAAGCTGTAGTTACTAGTTTAGAAAATCTTAAAATCTTCTTAGTATTTGGTGATATTACAAGAAAACCACATATAATACTTACAGTCTATTATACAAGGAGAAGGTTTTTTGAAAATCTTTCGGGATTTTATAAGATTTCCTGTTTTTGTAGTTCTTAACAGAAAAAAAAACTAGATGAAAAAACAGGAACATTAAACTCAATATCTCTATTACCGCAACGCATATTTCAAAGACAAATGTCCTTACAACCTGAGCTGGTATGTATTCCCTTTGTGTTTTACTATCATTTTCCTAGTTGCTTACTTATTACAATTTTTCTTGGTATAGCATGATGAAAGGTGTCTATAAACACTTTGCAATAAAAGAATAAGGTTTTGCATGGAAAATTTTCTAAATAATCAATAATATTTCTACAGTTATCTAGCGAATAGTTTTTCTTAACATTTCCTATATTTAGTATACCAGATGTTGCTCAAAAAAACTCTCATACAAATATTAAAACAACTCCGAGGCGTTTCAGTTTCATTTGGCAGTATCTAAAAAGTAATTTTTTATATTTTTTTTTTTCTTACCTTTACAAGGTTGCAAGGTTTGTTTGTAATGTGTACCTTTGGGATTTTCATTAACAATAAAGTGCTTACACACAGAAAAACGGAAATTAACTTTTTTCTTTACATTTTTTTATATTCTCTGCATTAAATAGGTTTATATTTTTTTGTAGGTGGTTTTTTGTTTACAAAATTTTGCTACGATTTCAAAATGGGAAATATCCATATACTATTTCTACAATCTCCATTGACCATACCATGGGGACAATGAAACAGAGTTTTGAAGTTTATTATTTGTCGTATTAAGTTTTTATACCCTACACCACCTTAGTGGGGAGGGTATGAAGTCGAAGTGCTTTACGTGAGTACCTGGAGTGGAGCCGTATCTCACGGTGGTACTTTTTCAACCACTGGGTGAGTAACAAGTAAACAACTCACCACTTCCCCTTTGTGTATCTTACACGCAGGTCGCAATTTTTGTACATGGATATGCCGGTCCATGTACAAGCACTTTGCTCAAGTACTCGAGCTATCTAATCTCTTGCCAAAGTCGTCACGTTGGGGAAAGGACAGGTGCCATGAGCAAGCTCAATCTACCTCTACATAATGTCGCCCAACCACACTACTATGGCTCTGTTGATTCGACAACACAACCTTGGGGACGTAATCGGTTTGTGCTGATATTTGTAACGCACAATAATATATATACCTTAAAGTATACCAATTAGAATCATTTTCTGAGCCGGTTTAGCTATGTCCATCCGTCCATGTAAACCTTGTAATCAAACTACAGATCGAAATTTTGAAGATAATTCAATGAAATTTGGTACATGCTCTTTTATTGACCTAGGGACGAAGCCTATTGAAAATAGTTGAGATCGGCCCAACTGAACTTCCGAATAATTCAATGAAATTTGACACATGATATTCTATGGTACCGGAGACAAAGCCTAATGCTTAACATCTGTCCATTATTTCACCTACCCCCCATACAACTGAACCCGATGAATAGGGCTTCTAGGTTCATAAATATGTTTAATATACTCGTATCTCGAAAAAAACCTGCAAAACCAAGTTCTATACTAGCCTTGATGACCCTCATGAATTTTATAGTTTTAGGGTCTCATTTGACCATAGCCCCTATTCAAAGCCCCCTTCAAAATTTGACTTAAATCTCCACAATTTTATTCTTACTAATTTGCAGGTAAATTTCGTTAAAAAAATCTAACAAAATTTGTTTATACATTATTTATATTGAATATACTCGACCTTCAAAAAAATTGTATTTAATTTTTTCTAGAACGCCTTAAAGTCCTAAATAAAAGTCATTCACTTATTTTATATTTAATTTTATCAATTACCTTTATAGACTCTTACAAATTATACCTTTCAATTAAGCCATTTTAAAAACTAATAAATTATATATACATATATGTATTTTTTAAATTATACTAGTTATAATTAAATGTTATTACCTTGTGGTGGCTTTCAGCATTTTATAGACTGAATTTCAATTGACACAAAATTGTGTTGCATTAATATTTTATGGTAATTGGATAACAATAGCGTTACAAACATGTAGTTTAATTTGAAAACACATAGTTTTAACTAAGTAAACAAAATATAATTGAATAGTTTAAAATTAATTTTAAAATTGAATAAACAAAATCAATTGTATAATTTAGTAATCATGGAATGCAGGGGTAAAATCAAAAAAGAGATACTAAGAAAAGAGTTCAACCTTAAGTCTATTTTTAGTTATAACTTGTATATATAATTTCATCACTTTAATAAAACAATTTCCAATAATTAAAACAAACCTATAATTATGCGGTAAAATACAACAATAACTGAATTAATTTACTATTAAATAAATTAAGTATTGATTTTTAATGTATGTGTTGGTGTTTATAATAAAATCGTTATTATCCTTATTAATTGCTAATTCAGTATGAATATGTGAAATTTTCAAAGACCTGTATGGATAATTGTTAGATAATTGATTTAAATATGAATGTAAATGAAGTAGAGATTGTGTAATAGTAAATTTAATATTTAAAACAAATATGCAATTAAAACAGGATATGGCAAGTTATGAGTATGTTTAATATATGGATTGAAGTGTAAAACATTTACACTTTATTAAAAAAGAAGTGATTTTCTGAAAGAGGCTTTAAATTTGGCATAAAATTTGGTAATGGAATTAACGTTTATACAAAAAGTTAGTTATGTGAATTTCATCATGATACTAGTGTTCGTATGGGAATTATGAACGTTCAAGTCATTTTCTGATGGCTATGAGACTATAGCCAAATGAAGCCAGATCAGTGTGATGATTCATGGTTCTTCTGTTAAAACTACCGGTTGTAGGGGCCTACAGAAATAATAGACCGATTTCAACTGTTAACAATAGGCTTTATTGCTGGCTTAAAAAATTAAGTACATATGTAATAAATTTCATTAAATTATTTATCGCGCCAACAAGGTTTACATGAACACACAGACGGACGGACAAACGGACATAGCTAAATAGATTTTGAAAGTGATTCTGAGACGATTGATGCTTAAAGGACTGCTAATTTCGGGTGCTACATATAATATAGTGGTTTAGAGTATAATGATTAACATCTTCTGGCATATATGATCATAAGGAAATCGAATAATGGTCGCCCAGTAGAGCATTTGCTAAGTGTTCTGAAATTGTTCCAGGTTTATAAAAACTCGAGTGTTTTAAAGAGGCTTCCCAGCAAAAAAATTTCACCAGTGTAAAATATGCACATTTTGTATTCCTTAAGAAGAGACTCTACGCGAAGAATCCCATATAAAAATCATGTAATCTTTCATAACAAGTGTAAGCAATACGGTCTAAATTCTAAAGAATTTAGTATAATATTTTTAAAGTACTCTAAGTAAGTTTGTTTGTGATATATCACACGATTGCAGTTTGTCCAGTTTACTCTTGGTAACCACGATTAGTACCTTAAATGGAGAAATGTCAGCTATGCAGACGATGTTACAATACTTCTAAGAGGAAAGGATACAAGGATGCAGGATACAGGATACAGGAGTAGAAAATTCAAGAAGATTGTTTTGTTGCTTGTTGGGCCATGGGCACTACACCAACTAAGATTATGGAAATATTGATGAATATCTACCTATTAAAACACACATACATAAGACATATATTAGATGGTACTTATAGCTTAAACTTACGCAATCAAGACTTTTGGAATGCTATACATTAACTGAAGTATAATATCGTGTTTAAACTTGATTATTAAAAATTTGTTGCCAAATGGTGGAGGCTGAAGTTATGAGCCAAATTGACCAAAGGCGTATATAGGACACGTCATCAAGGCTAAACATGAGATACCTGTAGGTTTTCGTTGCTGTGGTCTTACATAGTAAACTGAAAAATATAAGTATACTACAGTCTTCCAAATTACAGGATTACTGACCTGGAGTCCTACATTGAAAACTGAGAAACAGAAGTATACTATAGTCTTCAAAGTCACATGATTGCGGTCACAACTATGCAAAATGAGAGGAGCGTAGAAAATGCGGAGAGAACACTGAAATTATGGAATATTTTCTTTATCGTTGCCAGATTTTACCGAACTATATCCAAATATATTCTAAATATAACATCCGTCACGAATACTGATTGAATCGTGAGATAATACTTTCATTAAGCACTTTTTCCAAACAACATTTTTCAAGTAAAGGAATGTACAACAGATCCGATAGTGCATTACTTAAAATTTGATGTATTAAAAATCCTTATCTCAATGTAGTCTAAAGTCTCCTTATAGATAAATATCTGTCCAGTCTTATTATGACTATCAATTTCTTTAATCACACACAAACGGTCCATAAATGACGAAGACATTCAATCAATCAATTAATTTCATTCCAAGATGGTTAGTACCAGACTTGGGGGGTAAAGACTACATTTTAAATTACAATTACATTTGAAGTAATTGTAATTGAAGCTTCACCAATTACAATTACTTTTAATTATAATTGATGTTTTGTTTGACAATTACAACTACTTGTAATGGTAGTTAAAGTTTTGCCAATTACAATTACTTGAATTTTGTTCCTTATAATTACATGTAATTTGTAATTAGTAATACCTTAATTACAATTACAAGTAATTGTGATTGGTTATTGCTCAATTACACATTACAAGTAATTGTAATTGACCATGTAATGAATTACTTTGTGTAATCATTACCCCCATGCCTGGTTAGTACTAATCTAACCAAGAGCAAATAAGTGAAAATAATACGTTCACAATGTATTACATTTTAATACTACATATTTATGTAATATTAAACTTTAATAAATTTAAATTTATATAAACATTTTACTACACAGCTAGTGAGTGTCATTGTCATTATTTTTACTCTAAACAAACACAACAATAAACTTTTATTCCATACATTTACACAAAATATTTTGTGTTATTTCATGTTGTTTCACAGTTTTTCTATATTTATTCATTTTTTCTGTATTTTTTTTTTCAATTTTCAGAGATGGTTTATCTCACTCAGCACATCCAATGTCTGAAATGAAAAAATTGGAAATCCTGCGCAACATTACTGATTTGCTTGGTCGAACATTTTCATCGCAATTTGTATTTCCGGTATTAGGACATGAGGATGGTACAACAACGAATTTCCGGCACATGGGCGAACTGTGGCGACATTGGCTGCCAACTGAAGCATTGCATACATTTGAAAAAGGTAAATAAAAGAAAGAAAAATTGTCTATTTATTAATTTGTATATATTTTTGTGTTAGTTTTTAGTTTATTTTTTATATTTAGTAAAAGGTAAATATTTGTTATTATATACATATACACTTTTATATATATGTATATGAAGTTCACTTACTAAGAATTATATGCACACATTTAAACAACGTTTGGTTTGGGGTGATGATTGTTAAAGTTTTAATACCCAGTAGTTTTACTTTAGACCAATGAATGTATACTTGATTGACTGGTATTTATAAAACCTTATATCGTATTACACGTAAATACTTATGTACTCTTTGTAATGCAAAAAAGAAGTCAATTGACACTTTGTAAGGCGAAGTGGAACTCAATTGTCACACTAGTGTTTGCAAGTAATCTAAGGGGATATCATTTGCCCTTAGTATTTCTAAGAGACTTTTTTTTAGAATTAAGTCATGATCCTCATTCAAATTTACTAGTCGATTTCCAATTAACATTATAAACCCTATTCTGCAAAGTATTAGGTATTATATCAAAGTACTTTTAAACACACCCACGTTTAAATGCCAAAATATTTGTATGCTCAAGTAAGTTTTTACATACACATATGTACATAGCATATACTGTAAATGAAGTTTAAATTTTTGCTGTTGTTGTCGTTAGCATTGCAATTTTTGTAGCTTTTTCTACTATTGTTTATGTTGTTGTTGTTGTTGCCCTTGCTATAGCTGCTGTTGTTGAGTGTTGAAGTCAGCATCTACGGTTAAAAGGTATTCAATTGCAAAGTGCCTTTAACGGAAATTGATTTTGTGTATTGTATGCTTCATGTACTAAGTACATATACACTAAGTTAACTTACATGCAGCAAAAAAAAAAAAAAATGGAGAAAAATATAGAGAAAAAATTGAGAGAAAAAAATGTTTGTAAGAAAATTTCAAAGATTTGGTAAATTTGATAACAAGTGAAATAGAATGCAACTTTTTTAAAGTGTTACGAATTAAATTTACTTTTTTTTAAGTTGTAGTAAAATTTTGAATAACAAAAAGTGTTGAAGAAAATTGCAGTTGCAAGGTTAAATTTTTGAAAATCTGTGACTTAAGATGTTGGACATTTAAAAAGGATGCTAATCTTAAAGGGCTGCCAGCACAATTGGAAATTTCGCTTCCAACGAATCAGCAGCTGGTAATAGATAGGTTTCTTTAGTTCCCAGCAATACCATCCGTTGCTTTGTTTGCGTCTTTCGGCCAATTATCGCTTCCAAGGAATCAATTGCATTCGGTTCCCTGTAATGGTCAGATTTTAGCAGCTGGTAATAGAGAGGTTTCTTTAGTTCCCACCAAATATGGATCAATACCTTACACAGAGGGAAAAGGAAATAAAGTATACATACGAAAACACTATGTAATGTTTACAACGCAATGTTATCAACATTGCAACAATTCGTTGTCGAAATCTAAATTTTATACACATCCGTTGCCAATAGTGAGCATACCACGTTTGTTAACATTTAGACAACGAATGTGTATAAAATTTATATTTCGACAACGAATTGTTGTAATGTTGTCAACATTACATAGTGTTGTCATACGTGTGTATATACTTTGGCAACGGATGGTATTGAAAAATAATAAACAGTTTGGTGTCAATTTGGTACCAGGGCCATTGATATTTGATGTCGATTCCTGTCTTCACATATAGAAAAAAAGGTTCCAGCTTAACAGGTACTTGCAAGGAACAGAACCATGACTTGTTGGGCTCTTCATGGTTAAATTTTCAGGAAGAAAATGTAAAACAACACTATAACTAGTCTAATCCACAATCTCGTATTTAAAGAAGTATATACATCACTTTTCCCGCCGTGGTCAAGTATACATATAAAATTTCTTGTTTATTTACATCGTATTTTTTACCATGCCAATTTTACTTAACATCATATTATTGATTTTCCTGAATATTGTCTAGAGACTTTGAACTGTTCAATTGATATCAAATATTCCAGACTGTCATAAAATTCTATTATTACAAATAACAAAAAAAATATATACAAAATCGAACTCATATTTTATGTAGGCACTCTTGTAACATTATGCCAATATGATTTTTTCCTTTTTACAAAATAAACAAAATATTTCATATATTGATCTAATAAGAAAATGACCATAAATAATAAATGCTCCTTTATACGTTTACAAACAACTACAATAACGAAACAAAACCAAAAAAAAAAAAAAAACAATAATCTAAATTTGTAAACAAAATTCACGTGTGAGCAAAGAAAGCTAAAGAAAACAACATTTACTATTGGTAAAATAACAGAAAAAGGAAAGGAAATAAAGAAAACAATTTGAACAGGACACACATGGATAGACTTGCCAATAAAACTCTACTACTACAACTTACTATTTACACCCTTTCATATATACATACATACGGACAAACAATTTCACATAACGCCTCAACATAAAGTGTATTGTTTTCTGTAAATTTCATTTTCAATTTCAAATTCAATCTTATTTGTTCAGTTTGTTTACTTATTTGTTTTCGTTTTTTTCTCTTATATAAACATCTAATACCCTTTCTTTATTTTAACCATATTTTCAACATATGGTTTTTCTATACATATGTATGTATGTCTCTTTGTATATATGAGCTAAAGGTAATTGTATCTCTTCAATATTTTGCAGGTGGCTACTATTCCATTGAACAAACAAAAAGTCGTCTTCGTATTATAGCATTGAATACAAATTTCATGCGGCATGATCCAAAATATTCCCAAAGTCATTTGGCAGCCGTAAGACAACGTATGCCTTCAAATACAATGAACAGCGGCGGCAGTATGGGTGGTGGTGGTGGCATGGGTCCAGATTCAACAGAATACAAAAACTACTATTATCATCACAACAATATGCATCAACATCATGGACATGCCAGTGATTGGTCATCATCGGGACATGGTTATGGTTATAATAGTCATCATCGTGGCATAAATGTTATGCCTGGGGGAATGCATTATAACATGAATGGTTTGGATGGCGGTGGACGTGTCAGTGCATTGTCTGAATTTGAAAATCAAGATACGGAAAAACAATGGATTTGGCTGGAAGATGTTTTATCTAAATCAAAAGCTAACAAAGAAACGGTAAGTGATTTTTAATTAATACCAATAGTTTGCAGAAATATTTTATGAATTTTTAGAAATGTGGACAGATGGATACGGTAATTGATATTTTAAATAAAGACTAGCAGACATTAAAAATAGGTTTTAATAATGTTTGTATTTGTATACATTGTATAAGGATAACTAAAATTATTCAAAGTTTGGAGAATATATTCCGACAAATTACACCGCTTTGTAGAAAATATATAACTAACTTCTAATTCAATTCTAGTTCAGTTCTAGTTCAGTTCTAGTTCAGTTCTAGTTCAGTTCTAGTTCAGTTCTAGTTCAGTTCTAGTTCAGTTCTAGTTCAGTTCTAGTTCAGTTCTAGTTCAGTTCTAGTTCAGTTCTAGTTCAGTTCTAGTTCAGTTCTAGTTCAGTTCTAGTTCAGTTCTAGTTCAGTTCTAGTTCAGTTCTAGTTCAGTTCAGTTTATTTCTATTGTGAGATAAGTTTCGTTCCTAATGTTAACACATTTTTAACCTGCTTAAAACTTAACTTTCCTAAAATCATTTTAGAAACAAATTCCTATTAAAAAGTTTTCAAAATCTAAAAACACTATAAAATAATTACCCAACATTTATTTGTTTGTAACGTTTTTATATTTTGATAGCAAAGAATCAACACACATACATTCGTTTAAAATTATTTTGGTCATTTCCAACAAATTTTTCACAAAACTTGTGTACTAATCCTCTTTACCATACTTTATTTTAATTACTTTATTAAATCATATAATTCATTAATTCCAAAGCAGCAATTGGTCTTAAAAAAGTAGCAGCAGCAGTAGCAAAGCTTGAAAAACTAAAACTTAAAAAAAAAGAAACAGAGGAAAACTACCATCAAAACTTCCGGACAATTTTATTTACTTGTCTGCAGTGATATTTTAACTTGCACTTGTTAAACTACCAACACAAAATTGTGCAAAAATATAAAAAACTTGTAAGCGAAAAAAAGAAATTTAACAAATTTACAATTTTAATGAAAGATAAAAAAACTACAGAGTTTTTTTTCTAGCGCCGGGTCCTTCAGCAATATTAATGCTTAAAGTAAACTTTTAATTTCTTCCACTTATTGCTTAATTTTTCTTTTTTGCCAAACTACTTACATACAGAGTTTTTTTTATTCGTGAAATCCTTTTTTTAGATTTTGAATTTTAACAGAATTTTTGTTTGCTAGTACTACAGCAGCTTACATAGTTGTTTTAACAAATTGTAGTTCTTTTTTGCTGGTTTCTGGTTTATTTGTAAATGCAGTAGTTTTGTTGCTTTTCTTGGTCATTACACTTGATTTCGTCTGTTGTTATTAGTGGCAAATTCATATATACATTTAACACATTCCCCCTTAAAAATGTAAAAAATTGGAAAAATTAAAGAAAATATAACCAAAAAACAGGAAGAAATGGAAAATAATGCTGTGAAAAACGTTGCCATTTAAAAGATATAAGTAACAACTAACAAGCAAAAGTTTAATGAACAATTCAAACCTGATTGTTAAGGTTTCTTTTATTTTTTTAGAGTTATTTTTGCAAGTACACTCTACAATAGATTGTGGTATTTCCTGGGTATTACGTTCAACAATTGTTATTTCAATACCTTCTACAAGATATACTTTATGAATAGATACAATTAGAGAAATATTGTATTGTATGAAAAATTATTTTTTTATTTTTGCGGAAATATTGATTCTATAAAAATATTGTATTGATTAAGTTGCAAAATATAAGTATTTTTTAAAAACAGGGGTACACTTTTACAAAAGAAGTATAAAGGTCTAGGAAAGGGCTTTCCCTTCTATGTAGAAATAAAAAAATTTTAAAGTAAATTTAGGGTTTATGTTAATACAATATTACCTTTAGAAAAATAGTTAATTTCTTAGAAAATAAATTTTATATATAAATTTAAAGAATGAAAGAGATTCTAGAATACGGTCATAATATGTGGATGCCAAACCATTCTTTAAATCGGATTAGTTAGACACAAAACAACCTGCTTAACATATATACCTAGCCATTAATATACGTATACCACCAATAACTTTATATTTATGTAGTTTTTTCTATTTTTATTGCCCAATTGAACATACTTCTCTTTTAATTGCAATTTTATAGATATTTGAAGTACTTTAACCAGTAAAACCTTACCGAAACGCTAAAGCAAATTGTTAGAAAAATGGTTTTTCATTATAATAATGGAATGCAACAAAGTAAAGTTGGTAAGAAAAACAGCAATTTATTTTCAAAAAAAAGAAAACACGTACTTTGATCCATAGGAAAGTAAAAATAAGGAAGCAATTACTGCAGCATAAATTTAAAGAAATTTATAGTTAACATTTAAGAGAAATTATATTAAAACTAATTAGTCAAGAGATTAAACTGATTTTTCGAAAAGTGTTGATTTTACAAAAAGTCAGTATTTAAAAAACAAATGGAACTGGAACGGAACTTGCACTCCACTAGAATTGAACTAGAACTGAACTAGAACTGAACTAGAACTGAACTAGAACTAAACTAGAACTGAACTAGAACTGAACTAGAACTGAACTAGAACTGAACTAGAACTGAACTAGAACTGAACTAGAAACTGAACTAGAACTGAACTAGAACTGAACTAGAACTGAACTAGAACTGAACTAGAACTGAACTAGAACTGAACTAGAACTGAACTAGAACTGAACTAGAAACTGAACTAGAACTGAACTAGAACTGAACTAGAACTGAAACTAAGAACTGAACTAGAACTGAACTAGAACTGACTAGAACTGAACTAGAACTGAACTAGAACTGAACTAGAACTGAACTAGAACTGAAACTAGAAACTGAACTAGAACTGAACTAGAACGAACTAGAACTGAACTAGAACCTGAACGAGAACTGAACTAGAACTGAACTAGAACTGAACTAGAACTGAACTAGAACTGAACTAGAACTGAACTAGAACTGAACTAGACTGAACTGAACTAGAACTGAACTAGAACTGAACTAGAACTGAACTAGAACTGAACTAGAACTGAACTAGAACTGAACTAGAACTGAACTAGAACTGAACTAGAACTGAACTAGAACTGAACTAGAACTGAACTAGAACTGAACTAGAACTGAACTAGAACTGAACTAGAACTGAACTAGAACTGAACTAGAACTGAACGAACTAGAACTGAACTAGAACTGAACTAGAACTGAACTAGAACTGAACTAGAACTGAACTAGAACTGAACTAGAACTGAACTAGAACTGAACTAGAACTGAACTAGAACTGAACTAGAACTGAACTAGAACTGAACTAGAACTGAGCTAGAACTGAACTATGTTTCATAGAAAAAAATGAAAATAATACTTAAAGTTAGTGGTAAAATATGCAGAGGGTGGAAATCAATGAAACTGTGACGTTTGTTCCTCACCTAACATTTTTAGAAATTAATTACAGCTTCTTCTATATAAAAATGATTTCACTAGTATTACCTATTTCAGTCCTTTTGTTTATTTTAGAAGTATATATTAGGGTGATCGACTCGATTTTTCAACCGGTTTTAAAACCGGGTTTTTCTGCTTTTCCAGTGTCGGTTTTTTCTTAATGTTGATTTTTCGAATATCGAATAACCCGGTTTTTTCACTTTTTAAAAACCTGTTTAATACTTTTATTTGCTTTGTATTCAAAGATTATTTAAATGAAATTTTTAAGTAAATAATAATACAGCCCGTCTAAATTTTAAAAATATTCGAGTCGAGGAACTATCAATCTTAAGATTATATTCCAATTACAATAATTAATTTACGGCTGAAATTTTATGGAAGTGTTGGAATGCCTATGCAAATTTCCTAAACAGGGCTTTTAAAATAAGCCCTTATGTTTAACAGAAGTGTCACACTTTTTTCCTAATTTTGTATATTAAAGAAATAATGTAAATCAGACGACTAGATCTAAAGTTAAAATCTCTTAAACTGTTAAAAATCATTTCGGGCCATGTTTTATTAATCAAATTTAAACATAAACATTAGGTTTTTCAAATTAAAATATATTTTTTTTATTTATAATGAAAAACCGGTTAACCGTTTTTTTCTGAATTTGAAAAATATCAACCGATTTTTATAAATGTCAACTATTCGAACTATTCGAAAACCGGGTTTTGAAAAATGTCGAATAATCGATTACCCTAGTATATATGTATATAAACACTTTGTGTGAACGAACGCTCTGGTTTTGCTATTTGGGGTTTCCTCAACATGTCTGATGGGTTTTCTGCTATTGCTATTTTTGTTAGTGTTGTATGGTAGTGTTGTTTGTAGTAGTTGTATTTAATGTGGCTTTTTAGCAACGCTTAAGGCCAGTAACGTGCTTTGTATTATAAATAATATAAATTTATTTGAATTTTTCTTAGTTTCTCTTCGTTTTTGACTCATTTATCTTTATCTTTTCTGTTAAATGTATGTGTTAATGTGTTTGTTATTGTTGTGGCAAATGATTACAAAATAAAGATATCAAAAGTCATTGCATTATTGTTATCTTAAGCGTGACTTTAAATCCCCCTTTTGCTATGTTTGTTTTTTTTTTTTTAAGGGAAAACGAAATTTCGTTCGTAATCATTTGTAACAAATTTAAACTGACCCTTGTTGCTATTTTGAGGTTTCTTTTCGTTAACCAAAAAGTGCTGTGATCTTAGTGTGTATTTTTGGGTGTGCTGGTCTTTAGTTGTCTATGGATTAAGTTTTTCTTTTTTTCTTTCTTGATTTTTTTTGGTCTCATGTTGTTTTCTACTTAGGGCGACAGGTTTCGGTAATGATTTTGTATTATCAAATTTACTTTAAATGTTGTTTATGTGTCAAACATTGTGTTAAATATGATGACATGCTTGGTCATCATTTTCACTTTTAACTTTTGTTGCGCTGCAAATACTTTTTTCACACGTAACTTGAAAGCACCAGACAGAGAAAGAAAAAAATGAACGTAATATAAAGAAACAACTTTAAAGTAATTGCTGAGCTAAT